TTGCGTTCAAGTCATTCTGTCCGTCGTTTGTTTCTTGAATCATCACACGAATGAATAACCTTTGATTTTGGCACCGCATGGACGCGTAATTCTGACATCTTTACCACGGGACATCATGCGGTAGGCTTCTTTGACGTCTGCCTGTGTGTAACGCTGGCCGTTGAAATGCACCTGCTTGATTCCGCGTCTTTGGATCGCTGTTTCGGTGTTCAACATCACCTTGAAGACTTCCGTCATCATGTCGACTTGGTTCATCGCGGAAATCAGATTCATATTTTGTTTCCCTTTGCGGGTGACTGGCGGACACAATGGCGCGTATGTTGGGCAACGGCATTTGATGGCGGCTTGGCGTTTGCAGCAATGTACTATGGTGGCGTCATTTGCACGTTGATACAACATCCAATTTTTGACTTTATTCGTGCGCAGCGCATTAACCAATCTCTGGCTTGATGGTAAGTCCATGTGTATGTCCGAATTTCAAGCGCAACGTAATATTCAATTAGAATTTGGTTGCTTGCGAACTCAAGCGGCTAAATGTAAATATTTTCAAGCCGATAATAACCGAAACGGCAATACTTGAAATTTCAAAAACACTAATGTATGAATTTCATTATGATTTCATGTTAAAACACTTTGGTCTCGCGAATTATGTGCTCCAATATACTGATACCGATTCTTTTTTGTATGAGATTAAACACAAAGATATTTACTCATTCATACGCGACAACCCGAAAAAATTTGACACCAGTGAATTCTCTGCAGATAATCTATTTGAAATAGAGCCCGGAAACAGTAAAGTGATCGGTCTAATGAAAGATGAATGCAAAGGTAATATTATTGATGAATACGTTGGAATACGTCCAAAAATATACGCGTATAAAATGCATTTAAATTCAACGAAGACAAAATTACAAGTAATTAAGAAGGTAAAAGGAGTAAAAAAAAAATATTTTAAACAAAAAAATATCATTTGACGAATATAAAGGATGCATAGAGGAATTATGTACTCTAACAGAGCTACAGACCACGATAAAATCCTCTTTACATAGAGTATACACAGTGTCAAATTTAAAGAAAGTTTTAGACCCGTATCGTTAGACGATAAGCGTAAAAGTATTCCGAAATCTAACAAAACTCTGGCCTTGGGCCACTATCGCATAAATAAAATGTAATTATTTCATCGAAATAAAACTTTTTTGAATTTTGTATGCACTTTAGTGATATATGATATTTTTATTCTTTGAATTGTTTCAATTGAACATTAATATATTTTTTCTGATGATTACCACAAATCAAAACGGATAAGTTGTGCCAATAGTATGTCTTTTGGCATGATGGTCTTGCGTTGGCCATGTTTCGCGCACAATGCCGTATCTTCGAAAAGACCAATCAAGAAAGCTTCCGATGATTCCTGTAAACAACAATCACTTTTTTAGAAAACTTGTGTCACTTTTTCATTGTTATTTCGCACGTCTTTTTTTTAACCACACACACAAAATGATAATAAAACTTACCTGCAAGGCCTCTAAGGCACCGGCTTGCATTGTATAGTTTTGTTTAAAACTATATAAGATTTCCCGCACCACACGTTGGAATGTGGCGCGGGGAATGGTTAAATCTCTCTGCACTCGGTCTGTAACGATGTTGAGCCAATTCAGCCTGTTTTTGTTGGCGTGGTTGCCGTGATTGGCTCAACTTGCGTTTTTTTGGCCGCTTCTTGTTTCGGGGCATTTGTGAAGACTGAACTCATTTTATAAATAATTTGCGTTAAAACCACTTTTTCAATAACAAACGCACACACTTTTGTTTATCCTCCAAACTATTTTCAATATCAAGATTGTTTACAATTACAATACCAACACATTTAATGCATTTGACAAAATAAGAACAAGAAAAAATCCGAAAGATCTGTAACGAATTGCACTTACGGTTGAATTCTTTTTTACTATCGACTTGTTTACCTATGAACGTTCGAACGACACTTTCAGTATTGAACAAGCAGCCGTCGAAACCAGATGTGTGTAAATGAGTGCAAAAAAAATTAAAATGAAATGCGAAAAACTCGCTTTCGTATTATCGCCTAGTTGTTCTTTCTTATCGAATATATAGTAGTTGTAATTATATAATATATCGATTAGTAAGTGCGACACTGCGATCATACAGAAGCAACACACACAATAAAAACCATACATTAAAATTTTAAAAATACATTAACTTTTTGCTTTCTTCAATATTGTCAACAGAAAGGATACGATTTACTTTGACACGTGGTATGTATACACAGACGACTCTTTTGCTCTCTTTCGCTCGTTTTATTCAGCACTGCTCACACGCATCAATGTTGTCATATTTCAAAAGCTCGCGCTGTTGACGTAATGGTAGTCGTTTCGTGATTCCACCATTGGTTTTTAGTGAAACCACTCTTGTCAATCCGTCATCGCCCGGGTGATCATCCAATTCTGGAGCATTTTTCTTTTTGTACCACTTCGTTCTTGTTTGTAATTGGTTCAAATATTCGAACTGCCAGCGTTTCCAGAAGTATTGCATCAATTGTTGCACTTTTTGCCATCTGTTAAGCCAGGTCGCTTTGGCTTCAATATGACATTCTTCTGGAGGCAAAATTAAAGATTGGCCAACGAGAAAATGAGCTGTCGTGAGCGCCATCAGATCGTTTGGATCGGATGAAAGTCGACAAAGTGGTCGTGAATTAACACATGCCTCAATTTGCGCTAATAACCTACTTAACTCCTCAAACGTAAGTTTGTTATCAGCAATTGTTCGCTTCAAATGTAATTTGATGGATTTAACAGCTGATTCTGCTAAACCATTCATATGAGGAGCACCCGGGGGCGAGAAATGCCATTTAGTGCCGCTTTTTGCCAACTCTTTGCAAACCGCTTCGTCGTATTTGTCTTCAAGATCATTCATATTTATTCATTAATATTCAATATGCTGAATGCTACTTTTAACTTTTTGAGGTTAGCATCCACTAGTTTATCGAATTTGTCTTGATATTTTTTTATCTTCATTTGTGTATGCGTTCACGATAAAACCCAATAATTCGTTATACGTAGTTACAATATCTCTTCTGTATCTCGTAATCAATGTTGTATTGGCTGTGTTCAACACTCTTCTTTTTACGCATGGTTCAATACATTTCCATGCTTCTTCGTAATTGTCATTTAATTATCTGTATTGTCCGACGTTGTACTTTGGTTCAATTCTCGAAATTTGCTTATTTCGTGTATTATTCTATGTCTTGTTGTATGTGTCCATTGGATCAAGAAAATTATCGAAACGATGTAAAAAAATATTTTTCCATATGATACGATAATTCGAAGCGATTTTCAAAAATTTTTAACCATTACTTTTTTTTAAAAATATTCATAAAAAAAATATTGTTCTTTCGAAATTTCAAATCATGCATTGCAAAAGATCAGAGCTCACATAATGTTTTGTTATACGTGATTCTCAATTTCAAAATAATTGCTTAAAAAAATACAAAAATTTTTTTTACTGGCATTTACCCGTCACGGGCTATTTTTCGCTGAATTTGATAATATTATCGTGAATATTACCTCTGAATCGTTTTCGGCGTCTGTGTCGTCCATTTCCGAATCATCCTTTTCCCACCCAAAGGGGCTGTTTTGTAATGTGTTTTCTGACCTGTCGGCTCCATCATCATCTTCCTCTTCCTCTTCCGAATCGCTTATAACGATCCGAAGAGCTGAGTCACGGCCAGATCCAGTATCCTTTTTTTCGAATGAAACCGTCGTAAATATTTTTTAAAAAAAGTAGAAATTAAAAAGAAACTCACTTCTTGATCGCTGTCATAATGATTCAATACCGCAGCTTGAACGTGTGCTGCGTTGATCAAACCTCCAAAATTGTTTATTATCAACGTATCCTCGTCATCAGAAATAAGTACTGTCTCGTTTTCCATTTTTGGAAGCAAAACTTGGAATGAATATACCCGTCCAAAAATATCAAACACACGATAGAATAAGCGGTTCACTGAAGTTTTAGCGTCTTGATTACAATTGATGATACAAAGTAGAGCAGATTGGTTAATAGAATATATAATTAATATAGAATTATTGGTTGCATTTGTTTAATCTCGTAAATTGTGTATCTTTTGAATGCATTAAAGTTTGACTCATTTGGACTGTTTCTGTGGAAGGACATATTATGCTGCCTTTGCATGCGTATAATCGGAGAGTAGAATTCAACATAAGATGTAACAAAGGTTTGTTATGTAGAATAATAATATCAATCAACTCTCTTGTTCTTGTCTTGCTTCTACGTTTCTTCGAAATTTTATACTGGCATGTATATGTACATTTTGAAAATATAGGGTCATTTTAGGATTTACTTCGGAATCTTTCTCTGCATTTTCTTCATTGGGGTCAATAAATTCGCACTTTATATTAGTCAAATTATGATTATCCTTGACCTTTCGATTAAACTCTTCCATTATTTCGAAAACTTTTTCGAGCTGATCTTTAAGTTTAATTTTCGCAACTTCAGGAATAAATGATTTGAAAATAAAACCTATAAAAGTTACCGGCATCAATTATTCCATAAATAAAATTTTTTCTAGCTGGTTCAATACCGGTGGATTTTCTATGTTTTAAACCCATGAAAATTCTTTTTGCATTCAAAAAACTTTCGCAATCCTGCATTTTTCCGTCTATATCCTTACCCCAACTCCACGTAAAATAATACGATTGGGCGGAGATTCCCAATTTCATTGCGCTTGTCGTAATCGCATCTTCCATAGTCATACTATCGAGTTTTGTTGTCATCTCATTCACTATAGGATCTAAATTCAGCATTTTTGCCCCCCTAACACCATATTTGGATATATCTTCGGGTTTATCTCCAGATTTTGAATTACTTCCCTATCAAGAATAGTCACGGATTTTTTGGTTATTTTAACCGAAAAAATGTCACACTTTTTTGAATTAAAATGATCAAAAATTTTCAATAAAAAATCATGAAAATATTCTGTAAAATTGAATGAAAATATTTTTGGCTAAAGTATCTATGAAATTTCTGCAAAAATTCACAAAATTTTTCATCCGAACTGACCATAGATTTTTTTGGTTAAAAAAACTATGAAATTTCAATTAAATTTACCGAAATTTCATAGTTTTTTCAACCAAAAAAATCTATGGTCAGTTCGGATGAAAAATTTTGTGCATTTTTGCAGAAATTGCGGGCTCGGAAATTTCGGGATATATAAACAATTCGTGCAAATCTCGCCAACAATTTAGGACAGATCTTTCTTCTAGGACAGATTGCGATTTAAAATAACTTCCAAAACGAGGGAAGTGAAAAAATCAGTTCATGGTATGTAGTATGATCCATGTATTGAACATCGTTCCTTTCATTCGAAAAGAAGATGAAAACAGAATTCTTCGCATCATTCAAGAGGCGATTGTGTCTAGAAAAACTCCACGTATAGCTATAAACTGTTTAAATGAAAAAAAGTCAATTTATAGTGAAATGTTCTTTTTATTATAATCGGCCGATTTATTTACTGACATGTTGCGAAATGCGTATGTGGACGTTATAACGTATATGGATTAATCAAATAATCATAAAAACTCCTGCTCATGTACAAAGTAACGTTCCGGAACAGAAATGTCGTCAAATTTTCCCATCGGCTTGATTTTTTCAGCGATGATAGTACTGAAGTTTGCGAAATTTACATCATCCAGCAGTTCAAGGTCAACATTCGCTCGTATTTTGCACAAAATGGCGATGCATTGATAAGCAAATTGTTCCTTGAATTCTCTTATATTCGATAAGAGAACCGTTCCCGTAACCCCGAAGTCCATTAGTCCAACTTGGGCGCGTCTATCTGTTAAACCGATTTGAAACTGTGCCCGGTACCACATTTCCGTTCCATCGTCATCTGGATGGAGTACCAGGCATAGTTCCAACTTGTTTGGCATGTAGGGAGCTGTAGTTTTGTGTGAGTTCAAACCAAACTCTGTGAGTTCCATTGACTGTTTTGCAAACAACTGCATCAATTGATATACCGTCATTCTGATTACTTTGTCCCGTTTCTGATTGTGAAACAATCGTTTCCATTTCCGTACTTTCCAAGTCGTGCGGGACCAGTGCTATGTGTAAATGACACAAAATAAATTGAACACATTCATTAGACGAAAAGAAAAATCATAAATTTATCTTAATTAAACTTTGGCACCATCACTGGCTCTGTGAACGAGGACGAAAAAAGAATTTCTAAAAAAAACCTTACCTGATGAGGGTGAAGCGTAAGCGTATAGAGCCTCGTGCGGGACCGTTTCTATTTGTACAATATCGAAAGGCTTCGCCGGTGTTTTTGTTATTGTTAGTTCCTGACGTGTTTTCTCGTTCGGTTTTGTCAATTTACACGTGTGACATTGTTGTACGTACTTTGCAATGTCTTTCGTCATTTTTGGCCAGTAAAACTCGTACATTCGTTTCTGACCGCAGTGACCTCCGATTAGACGGTCACAATGAAATTTTTTCAAAATTTCTTGGCGCGAGTTAAAGCACTCTCACTGCTGTAAGGTTTTTTAATAAAAAAAAACTGAGGCTTATCAATGAAACACAATTTGATTTTCATTTTACAGATGAACGTTTTAATTCGAATGTACGTCAAAGACTGAGCATGTTCTATTTGTTTTGTATTGTATTGTATTTATAGCTTCATGCAATGGAATGTTTACAGGTAATGTGATCCTGGTCACGTTGCTGAAGGCGACCGTGTGAACGGATTCACTGTATGAAATTGAGTTTGGAAAAAGTAGTAAAAAATAACAGGCAGGTGTGTGAACGGATTTCTGATATTAAGTGTATGATATTTCCGTTTAAAATGAAAAAGGTAAAAATTGCGATCAAGCTGCTTTAACTCGCGCAATCGGCTACAATCCTTTGAAGGAACTTCAACCGTTACAGTATATCGGAATACCGACGGGATCGTATGAAGTTGCCGACTTGCAAAGATTTTTGCAAAAAAAACTAACGGCGTTGGGCATTCGTTTGCAATTGGAAGCAAACAAAAATACATAACAGTGTGAATTGTTGTGTAGTCAACCGGTTGAATTTACAAAACCAAATACAATTGGACCGTTGTTGGGTTTTCGACACGCTCGAATATTAAAATCAAACCAAGTGCATGAATCACCGTCGCCAGCGGACATATTGAAGATTAATGTTATACGCGTTGACTGTAACATAATCAAAGGTTCGTATTTGAACAACGCACCGTCGCATTCAATCCACGAATTTTCACCGAAAGTTCCGCCCGGCTACAAAATCATCGAAGTGCCGAAAAATGTCATATACTTTCCGGTGACTGCGTCTAGCATACACACACTCAGTATCTCTGTGGTGGACCAAGAAAATCGTTTGATTAATTTCAGAGGTGAAACTATAACTGTACGTTTGCACATTAAAAAAGTCAATTAAGTATGTTTATTTATAATAATAACAATAACAATAACAACACCAAACATAAAAAAGTGCAATTGACGTCATCGCGTGTGTCCATATGTGTGTCAGCTGCCGTTTTTTTTCCATTCAACAGCATTATTTCTATTCAATATTAAATTCTGATTCCAAATATGTATATAACATAATAAAATATTATCTCTTCACGATCAAAATCGCAATTAACCACAACAAAGCATTTAAAAGGTTTTCAATTGATCCAACCAACAGCAATGCTTTGCTGTTTTGACAATTCGCACAATTCGCACATACACATAGTTGTGCAAAAGAACAGTTGTTCAAATATTGACGCATACACTCGCACATAGCTGTAAATTACAACACACATATACTTGTGAGAATACAAGAATATATACGATGTGACTTACAGCTATGTCCGAGTGTATGCGTCAATATTCGATCAACTGTTCTTTTGCACA